GTGGAACACCCACTGTGCCAGTAAAACCATTGAGCAGCTGGATTGATGAAATGGAAGAAGAGCATGGTAAAATAAATTTGTTTATTTCTTAGTTTCTTATACTTTATCCTTAAGCTCTTATAAAATCCTTGGCTATGTGTACATACATATGAGTGAAATGTAGACAAATATTTAAAAGTATTGTAAAATCACGAAATAATCATTGAAGAAGTATATTTCAAGTGTACATTATGAAATATGCTTCAAAATACATCACCTATTGTTTTGTGATAGAAGGATTTTCATCAAGAAGCAGCAAAGAACCAGTGATTTTGCCTACTGCTCCAAGAGCTGCACGAGGTCCTCGTGTTGCAGATGAAGATATTCCTACTAATCCACCTTATGTAGCATATCTTTCTAATCTTCCTTATGAAGTGGATGAAGCATATCTGACAGAATTTTTTGTAGACATGAAGGTTAGTGTTTAAAAGTACATACATCTGATGTACCCTATACAATGTATTTGATTATGTTAACTTAGATTGCTACCATTCTTTAGATTGCTAATATACGTCTACCAAAAGATTCTAACAAACTTAAGGGATATGGATATGTTGAGTTTGAAGATCGTCAAAGTTTAATTGATGCCCTTTGTTTATCTAATACAGTAAGTTTGAGTATTTATATCATAATTTGAAGCAATCTTTAATGAAACTTAATGGAAAACCATTATTATGTACCACAAATTATCATGTCCATAGCCTATGAAGACAAGAAGAGTACGTATTGATGTTTCAAATAGTGTTAATGATGATCGTCGCGGTGGACGAATGGGCCGAGATAATCGTAGAGATAATTATGATGATCCTGAACGTACGTCCGGAGATTGGAGAAGCGGTCCACGAGATGAAAATCCACCATCAGAAGGAGACTCATATCGAAGTCGTTATGACAACAGAGACAGAAGAGACAATAGAGATGATCGTGAAAGTATGTTTATATAGCAATAATCCTCGTGTGTACTTGTAATTAATACAATGAAAATTATATAATTAATATATTTATCAATTAGGTTCTGATTATGATAACAAGCCTGGTGCATGGCGTGAAAGCAGTGACAGAGGAAGACCAACATTTAGAGACAGAGGTGGCTTTAGAGATGATGATAAAGAAAAAGAATGGACTCGTTTTGATAGAGGTAGCAGAGATCGAGAAGGAGGAGATAAAGGAAGCAGCTTTGGTCCGCGTCGTAATTATGGAGATTTTGATTGGGAACGTAAACCAGGAAGGCCCACTACTACAGACAGTAAACGTGCATATTACCTAATTATATAATAAATACAAAATAAATGTATCTACTATGAAATGATAAACATTACAGCGGAACCAAGAACCAGGCCGAAATTGCAGCTGCAGCCTCGTACAAAACCTATTGAAGCTGGTGCTGCAAAAGAGGAACAACAACAGCAGCAACAGCAACAACAGCAGCAGCAGCAGCCTGCTGCAGCTCCACCTGCTCCTTCAAACGTTTCTTCGACGAATATATTTGGTGCTGC